CCCCAAAACCCCAAAACCCCAAAACCCCATAAGCTGATCTAACTATCAAATAAATAAATTATTAAAACTTTAATTTAATTATAAGCCACATTGCATCACTTGCCAATTCCACTTATAAATTGAATTTACACAATGTCATTTACCTTCGTTGTTGTCCCCTCCCACTTTAAATCTGATGAACTTGCCGCCGAAACTGCTGTGGTCCTTTTCTCTTCTGCTCGCACTTGGGTGGCTGCTGCCCCCTCTTTACCCATTTTTCATGGGACTTATACTATCAAAGTAGGTAAATTTCTTTTCATCAGGAAGCATCTTTGAATCCAACTTCTAATGCATTGTCTTCTCAATTCGATCAAGCAGCATCAGCTTGTCTGCAATATCATGCGAGTATATTGGATTGCTTTTATTCGTTGGCGGAACATTCAAAGTATTTTTACTTATGATTTCAGTCTGATTCAACCTGGAGGAGGGCTTATAGTCCTTATTTTTAGACATTAGCGCTACGAGTGGGTTCTGATGCTTGATTGAAACCAAACTGTTGTAAAACTTCTCATCTAAAGGATCTTTCTTACCTATTGGAGGTTTTCTGTACTGATTTGTATCCAATATGCTTTTTATCAGTTTTTTGCTTGAAGTCTCTCGGAACAGTTCCTAGTCAATACTCTTTTTATGATCCAAAGAAATTTTTCTCATAATGGTTTTAGAACTTTTGCCAGGCAAGAGTCTTGCGCCTCCCCTTTCATATTCCTCTCTTTCATAATCAGAGGGGGACTTTTAAAGACCTATGATATTTTCTTTACGATTTTCCTCTTTCAAGTAATATTCTAGCTTGCTTAAAGTCATTAATTTATCCTTAGATGGGGAATCATTCGATTGATACTGTCTGCTCATTCTACCTCTTAAGGATTTTTATAGAATTCTTTGCTCTTGATTCGGGTTCTTCAGAACTAATCTAGGTTTCTTTTGCCATTAATCATCAGGGTTCGGATAACCGCTTCCATTAGGATCAATTAAATTCCTATTTTTCATCTCTATATCTCTATTATGATCACCATTTATCCTTAGCATACTTCTCATCATAAGCTTAGACTAAACAGTACTGCTCTTCTTTTCACCTATACTCATAGTGTTGCTATTATTCCCAATCTAGAAAGATACTCTGGCTGAGGAATTTTTAGAATTATGATTGTTATGCTAAATAGTAGCATGCTTACTCTCGTCCTGATACCTCATAAGCTAACTAAAATTTAGTCCTTAGGTCCTCATATCAATGTAGTTTTGACTGCCTTTGGTATATACTGGAGTAATAGTGTAGTTATCCAGGCCAGAGGAGGTCATAAAAAAGTCATCGATCTTAGGCAGTGGATTTTAATGATTTATAGAAGATTAATTGCCCTGTCTATTTGATCTATGGGTTGTTTATTGTGATTAAGGTACTGATGAATTTTTGAGATTGCTTGCTCTCTAAGTCTAGCTAGTGGTGGGCACTGTATTTGGAATAGAGTTTAAGTTTCTTGCTTTAAATGCTTGATTTTGATACTCATTTACCTGGGACATCATATTTTTATATTCCTGAGATTCCCGATAAGGCTAAGTCAGCTCTTGATTCCAGTAGTAACTCTTAGATATTATCACTTATCTATTTGACTTCTCAGGTGTAGCTGATTTCCCTGGGGAATGACCACTTGGAGATTCACCTTCTGCACCTCGTTTCCTAAGTGTTGGATCCACATCATATATGTTTTTATCTGATAGTTTATGCAGTGACCTCATGTACTCCAGCTGTTCTGTCTTATTTCTAATGTGCTTGGGTCTGTTCGAAAAATTCCCATTCATCTTCTTTCTTCTCCTGTAATCTGCAGTAGTAACTCAATCGTGTATAGGCGAGTATATGTTCAGCTTAATGGGTACATTAGCTGCACCTGTGTTAGTTTAGTTTAAAGCAGAGCCATTTTAATTGAATATCTGGCTGATATTCTTTGGATATACTCTCTCATTCTATAAAAATTAAGTAATTGATTGATATTACCATTGCACAAGTAGCTAATCTGAATTTGGGCTTAAGAGTTGGACTCTAAAGTTAGTTATCACCCTGGGTATCCTTCTTGAGAAGAGGTTTTTAATTCTTAACAAGTTTTAGTTTGTGAGGAATAAACTACTAATCCATTAAATTAATTCATAATTCTATCAACGCTTTTTTAAGAATACCTTGATCAGAGTATAGTACATGGGGTTTTGGGGTTTTGGGGTTTTGGGG